ATGAAACGATTTCTAATGTCACTGTTTATTTAGATGACGCTAAGGTACTTGAATTTGTTCACGTAGTATAATTCTTAATCACTATTGACGGGAAATACCAAGAGTTTTAGGACTCTCAGTGCGGGCGCGATCAGTAAACAGCCTCAGATGTTAGGCATGCCAGGCTTCCCATATTGGGCTAGTTGGTGCCAGATTTTACTGATCCAAACGTATACGTTAGAGCTCGCAACACCGTTGTGCCATATCTGGAAGCTGCACACAGTAATGAAGCTCAAAGCCAAATCCGTATTTGCGCTTTAAGAGGCTGAAGCTGTCAGTAAGCAATCTGAGCAATAGCAAGTGCCAACAGCAGCCACTCGCCGGCAGGGCTGTCGAGGGCTCATCCTCTTAGGGATTTCATACGAACAAGCTCCGCAGCCAATAATATAGCGCTGAAAGTAATGGGCGATTCGTGGAGGGAGTGACTTCTTAGTGGTGCAGCTGAGCTCTCGTCTTTCTGTTTGGCAGTACCGATACTCCTTGGATTTAATAAAAATATCATTCATTGGTTTAGCTCGCTGGTTATTTTGCTATCTATCTAGGTCAGAGGCTATCCTGAGTAAGATCAGAATTATAGCCCACTCAATTTCCGGCACAAGTAAACTTAACAAAACATAAATTCGGATCATTTACGGATTTCCAGCCTGTGAGGAGTAACGTCGTGCAGAATTAATTCAGCAATCTCGTGAAGAACAATAAACACAAGTCACTGTTTTTGCGAGTTTTTTAATGGAATCCTTGCGCAACTTGCGTAACTAACAAACCTCTGAGAGCTGAATGAAATGAACCTCCTTTATCTCGAGTAACCTCCTCTACCTCCGGTAAATGTCACCCTTCCATATAAAAACGCTTTTTAACTGCAATTTTAAAAAAATTTTTGGTTTTTTAGAATGAATTACTTGCTGACTCATTTATGTGCCGCCCGGTATACGAAACTTGGCAATCTGTTGGAACGATATTCTGTGGTCAGATTGGTCGACCGCTTCACGGTATATGGCTAGCATCCGCTCTAATATCAGTTTGTTTGATGCCACTTATCGTGCTTCTTGTCGGCATCGTGAAATACTTATTCAAAATGGACAAAAAATATGATCCTAAAAGGGTAACTTTTTTTCAAGCCGAAAAATTTCTCTTTTTTGGAAAAGTCATACCACTCGAATCAGTTTGGTTCTCTAGCCATGCAGCTGGCAATTTGACCTGATTTAACATACCTACTATGCGAGCACATTATCTTTTCGCTCCAAAAACTGCTTCTTTTCCTCAACTACCTCTGTTTCAAAATTCATAAGATAAATTAAAAAGCACAACCAAATTGGCTAGCGCAGAGGTATTACTCTTGAGCGGAAAGCCCGAGGATTAAACTTTACTAGTGATGTACCTCAGCAATTCGTTCATTCATTTCGAAAGTAAAACTGAACTGACATATGCTTGAAAGTTGGCTTGGCCATCAAATTGCCTCAAAATAACCTCCGAAAGAAGCAGTCATCGACAACCTTGTCAGCTGGTGATAGCTGTTGGCATTTGGTACCGCTCGGACTATGATTACATTATAAACAGTAAACGCAGAAAAATTTATGACTTTTGGCAAATATGTTGACATCATTGGTTAGGATTCGGAACAAAAAAACTTGATCATTACCTAGTTAGGGATAACTGACAGAAAAATTCTGTATTGGCTGATACATTAATTTTTCCGGCGAGAACTCCTTCAGTCTGAAATATAGCAACACATTATCGGCAAGTACTTTTAAGCTTTAAGCAAAAGCCAAAAACCCCTCCACAATTGCTCACTATCAGAATGGCAGAAGTGCTCAGGAGGCAGTCTGAATAGTAGCAAATGCCAACAGCAACCATTTACTTGCAAAGCTCCTTTTTTCGAGCGAGCTTTTGACGGGTTTGGCCCACTGATATATACTAGTACCAGTTTATCGTCGATGCGAATGAATGAACTGTAGATGAATTGCCCTCCTAAGATTAGTAATTTAAATGTCAGATTTAATAATTTTTGGGCCATTAAATGTTGGAAAATTCCTGGGGGAAAAGATAAATACCAGAGGATGGTTTAAATGATTTCTCATTTAATTTGAAAAGAGTCAAAACAAAAGATTTCCAAAAATTATAGGATTTTGGTGGAAGCATTTATACAATAAGCACAGCTGGAAGTGTATCTCAATAAATTGTAAAGATGCCACTTAAAAGTAATGAATTGGGTATTTTTTTACAAAATTAATGCATGCGTTGGCATGGATGTTCCCTGGATTTTTGCAGCTTTTCAAGCTTCTCTGAATTTTTGATAACCACGCTTTGTTGAGCTTCTGCTCTTCCCTGTGCTTACTTAAACTTTCTTTTTTACTCCTGTGGATGTTCCACATAGCTTTTTGGTTGAAGTCAGTTGCTGAAAAAATTTGGAACACTCCATGAATTTGCATGTCACGTCACCTGTAGTGTGATATAGTGGAAAATAGTACTGTCACTGTCACAATCAGTCCCTCTACGATTCGTTCATTCGTTTCGATGGTAAATTGGTGCTGACAGTGTGACAGAGGGAAAAATCCTCCATCAGTCTGCTTATAAGCAACCCCTGAGTGAACGGACCATCGAAAGCCTTACCAGCGAGCGGTTGCTTTTGGCAGTTGCTGCCCTCGAAGTGCTTCCGAGTGCCTCTGCTTTTCATAGAGGGCAAGTGAGAAGAGGGTTTTTAACTTACTTTTTCATGCTTCAGTAACCCATGGAATCATTTTTTTCAATTTTCTTTTGTCTAAAATCAATTTTAAACTGCTGTTTTAACTTTTGGCACGTACGTGGTAGATTTATTCAGATTTCAGTCAATTTACCGCAAAATACGTGCAAGCGTACGTTTATCCTGACATTTTTCCTCAGCAGATTTGCAAATATCTTCACGAGTTTCGTCCGGTGTGCCTGTGTATTTGTGTCATGTTTGTGTGTTTATGTGCCCATCCATGTATTTATTTGCGCCCATGTGTTTGTGTATGTCTGTGTGTGTTTGTGTACGTATGTGCGTGTGTCTACGAGCTTGCGTGATTGTGTGTGTGTCTGTGTGTTTTAGCGTGGCTGTGCATTTGTGTATGTCCGCGTGATTGCGTACTTCCATATGTTCATGCGTTTGTCCGTGTGTTTGTTTGTGTCTCTGTGTGTATGTATGTGTGAATGTGCAGGTGTTTTGAACCAATTTGCTTTATACCTCCTGCATTATCCTCAACCTGCAGCATCCAGCGAGTACCATACAAAACGGTGGTAGCATCTATGCTTATGAAGACGGTTCACGAAGTTCCACGTACACGATGATTTCCACCGATTCCAGAAATCGTCACAGACACAACAATCAACCGTGGTGCAATCTTTCCATGAGAAAACAAATCAGTCCCATGTTCGAGGAACCTAACTACAATACT